CTTGATCGAATCGATGAAAGTGGGTTTTCAGCCAAAAGCACCACTTAAAAGGTGTTTACGGCCGTGAACTGGGGTTTACGGTTTCTGAAGGCTCAGTGAGTTTACGGCCGTAAACTCAAGAACAGAGTTTACGGTCTTTGAAGATGGACCGTAAACTCAAGAACACTGGTGCTGATTTCGAAGAGATAAACGATTCCAGACGTTCCGAAGTGACTCCAAACGGTGTTTCTCGATGTTTCCCGAAGTTTGAAGGTGTTTTTAGGTGTTTACGGTCAAGGTTCTTAGAGAGAGAAGGAGAGAGTTTTTGGCTAGAAACGTTCAAATGAAGGTGGAGGTCTCGTATTTATAGGGGTCTTGTGGTCGGTGGGGGGTCCACTCTTTACTGGCCGTAAACGGGTTTACGGTCGTAAACTAGTTTACGGTCGTAACCTCACTTAGGACGGAATTGTTTGGTTTTTCGAGATATTCGGGTTCCCGAGCGATTTTTGGTTCCGACTTGTAAATAATTTAATTATATATAACTAGATTATTTTCTAAACCAAGAAGTTTGACGGAAAAGTTAATGAATTTGAAATTTTATTAACGGAAATCGCGTAACGGAAATGGACAAAGTTTCGAGTTGTCACACATACCATAGATAATATAATGGCGAGAGACCATGCCCAACTAAGAGCAGTCATCTAGCAGAGTATTGATGACGACCACAAACTTTTCTAGACATTCTAATGGAACGCTAGCAAATTCGCAATCTGTAGGTGTTAATAAATCATACTATCCGGAAGTATGGATTGTGTTTTCATTCGATTACTCTATCCCCCTCATGGCAGCCTTGCTGACATGTATTGCTAAGGAATCCCTGAGGCAGTGTTGTATACTCATTGTTACAGAGATCCTTTAGGATGGGTCCCTTGAGATTATCATTTTAGGATCGAAGAGTGAGAGTAACGAGAATAGATAATCGGGATTAATCTATTTGGTGTGATATATATACTTAAAATAATATAATAAAAATATTGTGGGTTGGAAACCCTATGTGCTCACCAGACTCCCAAGTCTGACTCACTCAGTTTCTTTGTATCACAGGTAGCGATACGAAGGTAGGCGAATAATGATCTGCTGAAAGATTCAAAAAGTTATAGGTCATAGTATAATAAGATATTGTAAGAACTATAATGAATATATTTATGCTTATGTTTCTTGTATCGGTTATGACATCCTAAGTTTTTAATAATCAGTGAAAAACATTTATTCGGAAATACTTTTTATGGGACAAATTCCACAGTTACAAATAAATTCTGTTTTAAAATAAGCATAACTAAAGAGGTCTTTTCTGAATGTAAAATTGGGGATGTCACATCTTCCAAGACAAAATATTCGTTATTTGCTATGGAAATAGATGAAACAAAAAACGAAGACATCTTTTGCTTGGAGAAAACTAGGGCACCAACATTATTTGACCAATTTGTGAATTATGTTACTGATATAAGTGAAGGAGGAGTTGAGATCATTAATAATTGTCCTACATAGGATGCTATGAGCAAAATATGAATAAACCAGTCATAAAGACTAAATATGTACAAACTGAAAAATATACTACCATATTAAATCAGTTTTTCAGCTTAATTTGGAATAGCCGTTTATAAGGACTGAATATAGACAAAAAAAAAAAAACAAGTTAAATGGTCTAATGAAAAAAAAATTTAAAAAAAAAACACTCAGTAACTAAATATGTGCAAATAAAAAATATCTATTTTATAACATATATATTAAATTAATATTTCATCTAAAAAAATATAATGTTTTGATTTATATTAATTTGCACATTACTTGTTAATTATTACAAATTATTAAAAACAACTCGTACGGTCGTACCATTAATTTATCAGAATTAAAGAACTTTTTTTTTCTTTTAATGATCGACTGATTTGTCCTCTATTTCTATTTATAAATCTATATATTTATTTCTTATAACTTTAATGTCGATGTTTTTTGGTCAAGGGTACGGGGGTAATTTGGGAATTGAACAATGGATGTGACATGAGTGAATAATATCTATAATATATACTTCTATTATCTGCTAATCTGAACTTTAAAGGCAAGTAGTATAGGACTTGTGGTCTTATTATTTAGGGGTAAATTTAATATTAGCATGGATATTTGAACCTTGCCACATTTCCATTTTTGGTTGGATGATGTGGGTGGCAACAAGATTTCATTATTATTTTATGATATTTAAATATAATTTTTATGACATGGATTTGGAATGATTAACAAGATAAGATTAGATCTAATCATACAAAACACCCATAATATATTATTCTTTTGGGGAAATTAGTTTCTCAAATTTAATCGTGAGTCATTTACTTATTATAACTGCTACACAAGTATATCTAATTTTTTATATGACACGATAAAGTAAAAAAATGTAAATAAAGTTGCAAAAATAAAATATATATTTTTTAAATAAAATGAGACACATCGTCAAATGAATAATTAGATCAAAAGTTATTTAAATATGTATTTAAATGCATATAACCTTCTAAATCATGTTACTAAACAACTATAAGATCTCTATTGACAGTTATATTATAGACTAGATGCTTTGAGTTACTAATGGAATTGGTGCAATTATATGGAATAAGTTTGTCCTTCTGAAAAGTTAACATTTTTGTATAGTGCTTACTTTTGAATCGGTTATCGCCTAAAGATAATCTTGATGGAAAGTAATGGTTGTTCCTTTTATTTTTTTGTCCGATTTATGGGATGGAAAATGAAGAGCTTGAATATCAAATGTGAATTGGGCCAATTGGCTAATAAAGTTTGAGGACAGTTGGTAGATAAGGTTCTCATAAATATTATTGATGTTTTCACTTGGATGAAGGCTCTAAGGATTTCGAAGTACAAAAAGATGACAATGGAAGCTATCATTTTTTTCACGTTTGGTGGATGTCTTGACAATAATATCGTCTTTGGGAACAAAAAGATTATGAAAAATATGATAGTGTTGATTTTTGAGCCGTTTGTATATAGAAACAATAGTTTGCTATCAAATGGATTGATTTGATGCAAAATTCAATGCGTGTTGTTCATTTTCTTTAGTCTCTTACTAGCTTCTTAATATAAATCTTTCAACCGTTAAAAATGATTTTTATTGAAAATGATATTGTTTTTGTGTTCTTATTCAACCTATTATAGATTAATTTTACAAAATGATAATCAATTACAATTAATTTGATTTTTGAGCTACTAATATTTTATAGGTAGTCGATAAATTAATAGACAAGTTTATTACACAATTAGAATGAATTTAAAATGGATAAACTAATATCGAATTTCACCCAACGTCCATTGTGACATTCAGTATGATAGTATTTGTCAACTTATGTCTATATCGTGCTGACATGACATGCAATGTGGACAAAGAAAGTGTTTGGGGCTATCGGATTTTTTTATCGCAGGAAAAACTTACTTATCTTTTTATTTGTATCTATTTTGATAAATTGTCTAACCAGTTCATATTGCCACCTCTGAATTGCTCTATAAGAACTATATTACAAAAATCTACATAACAAAATTATAAAGATATAAGCATATTTATAATAATGTAAAATTTTAATATGTTATAGAGAAACATGAATATACACTATACAATTACACTATTACAGAATTATTGCACCCATTTGTTTAGGGCCATTTTTGATTAGGAACAGCTCAAGGTCCAAAATAGAAAAGAGATCACTTTACTGCTTATGGCTCAACCCAGTTAAAAGACTGATCCTGCACACCTTTTCAAACGAGTTAATGCTGGCTTCAACTTCATATTTAAAAGGAGAAATTTATAAAAATAATTTTTTTTTAATAACTTAACTAAAAAAATGTATGAGGTTTTGTCTACACGTATGGGGAATCTTCTATCTCATATGTGATTTTGTGTTATCTATAAAAAAAAATTCAATTTGCTATTTTCCAAGACGTGAAATTGCATATGGCATATCGCCATCTGAGTTTTTCTCTCAAGTCGTCTGTGGTTTCCTTTCAAGCATCTGCGAATGTACAAGTCGTTAACAAAAATTTTATGCATTAAAAACTTGTATTATCACAAATGATAAAACAATTATATATAAGATTACCCAAAACATTGTTTCCAGGAACCTATTATTTAGCTATCAGAGAGAGAATTATAGTATCTTTGAGTGTGAAAAATGAGCTAAAATCTTTTTTAGGGTTTAAATATATTAGGCTAATGGGCCCGAAACTACTTCCCACTTGACGAAACCGCAGGTGTGTTAGCCTCATCTGCGGTTTCGTTGGTTATTCTTTTTTTGCTAAAAGTTACTTTTTTGCTATTTTTGACTAAATAGTAAAAATTAAGCTCTTTTTATAACTTTATAAGGAGTTTTTGGTTCTTTTGTAATATCAAATATGTTTTTAGACTAGTTTTACCTTGCGAATTGAGATGTTGCCCCACTATTAACAATACAACAACTATTTTTTTGGGGGAATTTTTTGTATTCCTTTAATTTAACTTCAAGTATAAAGAGACTAGTCAATTATATGCCATTTTGAATATATTGTCTTCCAAAATCCTCTAGAATTTTATGGTTTTTAATCTCGCTTTCTTGTGTTCAAAACATCCCTTCATTTTTCGCTCGTATATTATCATATATTTTTGTGCATTGCAAGTGTCAGTCTTTTCACTCCTTCCAAGTTGAGTTATAATCCATCTCTTAACCAATATTGCTCGTTTTCTTCATACTCATGAGTTGTTATCATTACAGAAATTAGATGAAATATATGTTAACGAAATTGTCAATCGACAATGTGATTTTCAAATTGTAAGTACTAAAAATAAATCATAAAAAAATACCCATTACAACTAGCAAGCTAACACACGTAATATTTTCATCACCAAACACAAGGTACACAATTCCAACTTAAA